TTATGGTAGACTTACTTTTTTTCTCCTTCTAGGCCTAAAATACTTTCTGTAAGCCTGTGCTATCATATTAAAACAAAGTGTACCTCCTTTACAGAGTGCCAGATTTATTAATCCACGAGAAAAAGTCGGTAGCACTGTATTGGGCTTTACTTACCTATATAACATTGTTTTCTTTAACAAATATTTGAAGAAGTTATAAGTGTGCTGTCTGAGTGACAAACTATGAAGAATGAGCATTTATGGACTCTTCACTTTTGTTAGCAAATAAAACTTACAGCCAGGTTAATGTGACACATTTAATGTATGCATAATTGTTATTGTGCCGTGAGGTAATTAGGCATAAATGGTAAGTAGTTCATGTAAATCACTGTAATTAGAATTACTTTTACACAGCCAAATCAAGCATTTCTAGAGTCAGGGAGAGAGAATTAAATAGAATATGGAGCTGTTCTGCAAATCTCAGTTTCCATTAATCAGGGGTGTGAAGGAAATGAGGTTTTTTCATTCCTTGGGAGGAGACTTCATAGCATATTTGTAGGGCAGTACGGTTAGGGGTGCCATATAACAATGTTCTGGTCAGTAGTGGGCTACATGTACAGCAGTGGCCCCATAATATTATAAAGGAACTCAAACAGTCCTATCCCATGGTAATGTAGTAAGCAAACCTACTGTACTAGAATCATATAAAAACTAGCATTGTATACAGCATATAATACATGATCATCAAAATAAACACCTATTACTGATGTATGTATTCACTACACTATACTGTATATATTTTTGTGTATGTGTTGCTGGGGTTGACCTCAGGGCTTACACATGTTAGGCAAGTTTTCTGCCGCTGAGCTATATTGAAGCCCTTTTTATTTTGGGGGCCATTCTTGCTAAATTGCCCAGGCGAGCCTCAAACTTACAATCTTCTAAGTAGCTGGGATTATGGACCTATCCCAGCATGCCTCATCATACTATATTTTCTCTTGTCATTTTAGAGTGTACTTTTGCTTATAAAAGAATAAGCGCTTACCATAGAATAGCATATGCTGTGTTACACTGGAAACAGCCTCATACATCTTGTGTTTGCTGGGTCTCTTGATTATGAGTGGCTGCATTGAGTAATTGACCTATACCACTGAGATTTGTGTAAATATGCCCTTTGAGTATACTCACACAACGGAAAATTATGTAATGATACATTTCTTAGAATGTATCCCTTAAGGCAGGCATTAGTTTTGTTTTCCTGCAAGTCTGTATTAGTGTTGTTTTTGTTTGCTTGGGTTTTTTTGTGGTATGGGCACTGAACTCAGGCCTTGCGTAGGTTAGGCAAGTACTATACGCTGAGCTATTTCCCTAACTCTTAAAATACATACATATGTATTTAAAAGCCAATTTTTTTTTCTGAAGAACTTCATTAGTCTTTTTTTTTTTTTTTTGTCTTTTTGAGACAGGGTCTCACTATGCATTTCAGGCTGGCCTTGAGCTCACTTTGTAGCCCAGGCTGGTCTCAAACTCTCAATGATCCTCCTGCCTCAGCCTCCCGAGTGCTGGGATTACAGGCATGTGCCACCACGCCCGGCAACTTCATTAGTCTTTATTTGAAGGTGTTAGGCAAAGAAAACTGGCATTTTATTTTTATTTTTTTTTTTTTGTACTGGGAATCTAACTCAGGACCTTGCACTTGCCAGGTAGGCGCTTGTGCCACTGAGCTAAATCCCCAGCTCAAGAAAACTGACATTAAGAGAGCCTTAACTGACAGCAAATGATATCAATCAGCAAATCACTAAGCCATAACAAACTCACTCAGTTTGTAGGTAACCCTTCCTTTCCCAGGTCTTCACCCGGGCAGTCCATCAAACACTGATTTTGTCCAAGTAACTGAAATGAATAGCAGTTCTAGTTGTAGCACTTGAAAGTTCAAGTGCTCGTAGGCTTCAGTCTCTTAATAATAAGCACTAAAAGGTATTATCTAGTAAGGTTACATTTTCACTTAAAATAGGCTTAGAAAAAGGTAAAGAATTGAGTGTAGGATTTAGTTTCTGCCTCTTAACATTAATGGCAAAAAATTATATTTCTATCATTCAGCAGCTTTTCTACTTAGGGCCACCTAGGACTGAAAGATGTAATGAAAAAGTAAAACTGTACTTCAGTATGTTTTGTAGTTTTTGTTTTTTACTGAACACAGTAATGTTCATCTCCAACACTTCACATACAGGCAAATACTGTCTCCTTTTACAGAGTTAGAATTTGAAGCCTTCCCACCCCCACACAAACAAAAATTAAATGGTGTAAGAAAATTAAATGGTAGTAATGTTTGAATGACTTTGTATAATGATTAAAAATAGAAGCATATAGAGAGTGTTTACCACCTAAGTTTTGGCAGTGACTTTATACTAAACTGGAAGGAAACATTGGCGCTCTTTGAATATTTGAAGGCACATGTTGAACAGATCATCAATCAAAATTCACCAAGAACCAAAATACTAAAGCATTCTGCAGTGCACTTAGGTCACTATTCCTGACCCCAGACCTTTGACAGTTCAGTCCACCATAGTTTATGTTGATACAGCATTTGCTAACATAAAAAGTATCTTCATATGCGCATTATCTAGTCTGATTTCCCCACAGTGCTCTGAGCCAAGCAAGACAGGCTTCACTGTCACCATTTGCAGATGAGGAAATGGCGGCTCAGCACTGTTGAATGACTTGCCAAGGTGGTTAAATTACAGAGCCTGGACTTCAATCCAGGCATTCTGACTCACCGCATGTTTTCTTTAATACTACCTTGCTGCCTCTTTTCCTCAGAAACTGGAATTATTTTATCTTTCCCAAATCCTATTCCGTTAAGAAAGTAATTCACATTCTGACCAATGTGATGTTTCTAGTGATCTCAGAGACATACAGGAAATTACATAGATTCGTGGCTGCTGACTTTCCTACAGTCGGATTTAGTTGCTTGTCTTTTAGGACGGCAAAAGTC